TACCATAGGCAAACAATTTCGACTTTTTATTCAACCGAATATTGAGTGCGTGCGGTAACCATGTGTTTGCAGTGCTGGCACTTATTTAACAATAATAAATAAAATGCCAAACATTTATCTTTAATTTACAATTGATTTGATTATAATATCTTTTGTAGTTTTCGAATAATAAAAAAATCAAAACCCGCGTTCATGGCCGAAGACACTGTAGTAAACAATTGAAATTTATGATGAAAACAAGTTAGTTCATTTTTTGACAGTTAGACTAGACAATAATTGATATAATTTGACATAGGTCACATGTTTTCTAGTAAATTTTCTAGCTTATCATAAATGCTATTGTGGTTTATTATTAATTCACTAAATATAATTATGCTTGATGGGATATTTATACAAAGTTTAATGTAATTTAAATGACTAAACCTGTTCCCAAGGCAAAGCATCAAGGACAGTTTTTGTTGAGGGATAGCATCTGTATGTCTTCAATTCATGTATAATGTATACATTATTTAACACCATATTCTAGTGACAGATAGATGATTATGTTGTTTATTTAGCATGATATTTATTTTATTAATAATAAATTGTAATGTTACATTATTTTAATTAAACAGTATCTTTCTTTAGTGAAACGTTATTTTTAGTAAAAATTAATTAATAATTAATTAATTAAAAATATTTAATTTGTTGTAAAAAAAAGTATTTCACGTCAGTTATGGGTTTTATAAGTAAATTGTTTTTATTGGCCATTTTTGTAGGCATTGGTGCCGTTTTATATCAAGTATTTCTAACACCAGACCCACCGGTACCGCACGTACCGGAGCTATGGTTTGGCAAAAGTGCACTCAAACGTAAGTTTTGAACTTTTTTATTTATAACAATCACTCTTTAAACTGATTTTTGATAAAAATTTATTTGTTTTGCTGTTATATCACAGCGGGTGAGGCCATACCCAAAGACCCGGAGGCTATCAATAAGTTTACAATCAATGTGTCCGACGATGTGCTCAACGATTTGCGCCGACGGCTAGACTCAGCCCGTTATGTGTCGCCAATAGCCGGCACTCAATTCAATTACGGTTTTAATGGCGATTATCTGCAGAAAGTCGTCGATTACTGGAAGAATACATTCAATTGGAGAAAACAGGAGAAGATTTTGAATCAATTCAATCAATACAAGACACGTATTAATGGCATTGATATTCACTTCATTCACGTTAAGCCATCAAAACCGGCCAAAACTGTTATCCCACTTATGGTATG